TGCACTGGTGCTTTTTCGCGTGTGTTGCTGCCGCCAGATGATGACGCTGCCAACTCCGCCCCGAGCTCCGATGAGGAAACCCGCACGGCCTGGGGCCGGAAAGCCAAAGACTTCTACGACGAAAGGAGCGACGAGGAAAGCAGCGAAGACGAAGAGGAGCTGCAGGAGAGAGCGGCTGAGGCGGTGCGGGTGACGGAGGTGGAGGAGATGGAGGGGGTAAGAGAGGAGCACTTCGGAGCCGATCCCAGGTCCATTGAGGCGTTGAAAAAGCTGCTCGACATGCAGGGCAAGTCGCTGCAGCAGCAGCAGAAGGGGGCCGACAAAAAAGCGGCAGAGGGAACTGAACAGGAAATGCTGTGGCAGGCGAGGCTTGATGCGGTAAGCCGTTGGCCCTGTGCGAGGATTCACTGTTTGACAGAGAATCATCGAAAAGCCGAACAAGTGAAGTATATTTCATGGTTAGAGCCATGAAACCAGTTTCATTCCGAAAGCTGGAGTCCAGTCAGAAGGGGGAATGTCCAGGCTTGATAAGGAGCTAATGGACAAGTACTTGCAAGTTTTATTGGGCAACAATCTAATCGTATAGTGAGAGTGGCCATATTGACGGCTTAAAATCTTTCGGGTGGATCACTGCATGCATATCTCATGCTTCTCAGTGAATTTAAGGTGTGCGGGCAGCTGCATAGCATCGTTACATTTCCCCGTTTTTCCGCCTCACCGCTTTTGAATTCAGGAAGTGGGTGCAATTCTGGATGGATTTGCGGTTTCTACGGAGCAGCAGCAGCAGCAGAAACCACAGGCGGCAGCAGCAGGCTTGAGTGAAGATGAATTAAAGGAGATAGTGAATACGGCACACCCCGAGCTTGAGGGGCTGCTACAGGAGCTGCGGGACTCTCTAAAAGAAGTAAATCAAAAAGTCGAGCCGTTAATCACTCTCGCAAAGGCCAAAAAGTTCTTAACTCAAGAGGTGCGTCATCTTAGGTGTACGAGGAACTCATGAACTCACGACCCCGGCACTACAAGGTTAACCTTTCGGTTCTTACTACTACTTTGCTTGTTATTCGACTCATGAGCATCATCATTCTTCTGCTTTTGAAATCCTTATCATCCCGCCTGTGCACTTTTTGAATGTAAAATTTTCAATTTTTGCTTTCGGCATCATATGTCAGGGCGTGTCTCTCTTGGACGCCAAGAACCAGCTGTTGCTATCTTACTTGACATACCTTGCATATTACATTTTGTTGAAGGCGCATGGGGTGCCTATTGCCACTCATCCCGTCCTTGAGCGCCTAATAGAGACGAAGTTGCTGCTGCAGAAATTGCGGCCGATTGAAGCAGCACTGAAGCCGCAGCTGCAGCGGCTGCTGTCTAGTGCAGGGGAAGGTACGCGGCGACCACTATTTTTCCCCTGTTTTTTGTCCCCTCTGTGTTCTGCGTTATGAAGTTGCGTGCTTAAGTCGTCGCAACGTGCATGTGCATTCATACCACTATGCAAATCAGCTGTTGTCACTCCTGCACCTTTTTCTCAATAGATCCGGTAGATTAAAACAATGTATAGGTGTGATTTGTTCTGTTTAGGGTCCCATGATTCAGCGGCGCCTCGCGCACGGCCGGAGGCTTTTACTGCAGTTGGTGAATCTGATGGGGATGAGAGTGGAGATGACAATGGAGATGAAAGTGCAAGTGGAAGTGAAGCCTCAGATGTAGAGGGAGACGAGACCAAACTGTCGCCACAAATGATTGAGATGGAACACACTACAGATAATGTACGGAAGCTTTCGATCAGAAACTGTAAACCCAGTGGCTGGACTATCTGTCTTCTGGTTCTCCTCTTTCTCCATCCCGTCTTCAGTTGGAGTTACAGCTATGGGCACAGAAGCTCGCACGTCTTTCTGGTTATTTTGCTTGATTTTGCATGGGCCATCCATGTTCTTACATTTCCCGTGTTGTTCACCTGTGTTCAGGCCTCAGCATCCAGACGTGCCGCTCGCGAGTTACAACGCGCTGCAGCCCGACTGAAGAAGAGCGAAATGGTGCGGGCAGTGAAGGAAATGACTGGGGATGCTCCTGAGGAAGTAGGAATAGAAAGGTGGCTGGCGGCTAAGGCCCACAAAGCGGCAGCCAGGGAGGCGGGGCTAGTAGCAGACGATGAAGACATGGAGCTGATGAGAAGGTCTTTGTCAAAAAAGGAAAGAAAAGGTAAATCTGCTCATATATGGGTCTACATGGAGTGTTTTTGCGATTAACGACAGATGTTTTTTTCTTCAACTATACTCACTATTCCTGTTGATGGACGGGGAGGCTTAGTGGTTGGGTATGGGGGCGCAGCTGCCCTGAAGTGCACAGAGTGATGTATCAATATTACTTCAATTTGAAATGAAAAACGAAGTTTGCGTACTGAAGTTGATTGCGAAGAGCGCACAGTTGACACAAACGTGCACTAGTTGTGCATTGAAAATGTGGATGCTTGCTTATATATGCCCATGTAACTTCAGATGGTGATCGTATACAGTTAGAAAGAGACGCTTACAAGTAGTTGTCTATAGCGTTTTTGAATAGAACTACAGTTTCACTCGTTGTCGTCGCTCTTCATGCTGCAAATTGCGCCACGGTTCAGAGCCTACTTAAGTACATATTAAGCCGAAAAGATCTGAGAGGCAACGCCCTTTAGCTCTAAGCTGTAAGTATTGTTTTCATTTTGAGGTTTATGTTTATTAAACATAGTTGCATTCTTTTTGCGGTGGTTTGTGCACAGTTCAAGCAGCTCAGCGCGCGCTTTTTGAGCGCCGCGCGGCTCTTTCTGTTGGCTCCACCTTAGAGGATTTATCAATTTTTTGTGAAGAGGAGTTGGGGGGTGTTGGCGAGGACGACAATGGACCGTTTGGCTCGCAAAGTAGAGGGAAAGGGAAGGAAAAAGCCAGAGGGAGAGGCATGTTGAGTCACTATTTGAATGCAGCAAAACAAGCAGCAGAAGAAAACAAGAAGCTGAACAAGGCGTTTGCAGAGAAACTCGTCATCGCCAGACAACAAAATCTGCAGCACTTGAACAGGAAGAACCATAAGGAAGTGAAAAAGTGAGGAAACGGGTTCCACTGCCAAGAGATGAGGTGTTTGCTCATTTGAAAAGTGTTCAAAGCCACACAGTGCTGTCGCTGGGCTAGTTTTCGTCAAAGTTTACAGTGAAGCACAGAACGGAGTCCACTTTAATGCCTCAGCGTACTAAGTATGCGTATGTAGACATTTACTATGTATTTATAGTAAATCTCCGTGCAACGTTTAATGTCAAATGCGCTAGTTAGCGTAGTGCTCTTAAAGCAACACGGAAGGTGATTTATATCGATTCAGGTCAGCTCCAAAGGAAACGAAAGCAGGGGCAGAAGAAAGTGAAGACGAAGAATTTGCGCGTTTAGTTGAGGAGACAAAAGTGCGAAAAGAAAAGAAGAAGCAACAGATGAAAGAAAAGGCGGAGCAGTTCCTACCAGAAAGTGAACCAGAGTTTGAAGGAAGAAGGCGTGAGTAGGCTCTAAACGTTGTAGTGTTTCATTTAGTGCATGCATACCAATTCATTACTCAACTGGTTTCTTGCTTGCCTTTCCGTTTATGTTTCTAGATGCGTAGCATACCGCTATTTCGGTCTTCATTCAGCCGTAGTTATTCTCTGACAGTTTGATGCGTGGATGAATAAGTTGCTGTTTGCTTGCGTTTATCGTTCGTACTGACTTTGGACCTGAAGTTTTACTTCAGCAACTTGTCCATGCGCATTTTGTTGATATTTTTGTACAGTACTAGTGTGGGTCTTCGTACAGCTGCGTACATTGCTTTGCGTACACATGCAGTAAATATTTATATTTATATACGCAAGCGCAGTGGGTGCATACATGCAATATATATACGGTGTATGAGCGTGTGCATCTGCTTACGCGAATTCGTGTGTATATTTGAGATACTGCATCTGAATATAAGCCAGGTGTGCATTCGTGCACGTGAGCATGCTTGTCTATCGTGTAACCACTGAAAGCATTACTGGACAAATCTGCATTATATAACCATTAGTGTCGATTCCTTTTACTTATTTCATATAGACGTGACGAAAGAAATAATGGCAAATAGGGGGCTCGTGAGGAAGCGAAAAAAGTACGAGGGAAATGCACGCGTCCACAACCGAATGAAGTTCGAACGGAAAGCGAAGAAGCTCAAAGTGAGACTCTCTCACTTGCTTGTTTGTGCTTGTCGTTCCGTTTTCCCCGTTAATTTGGTTTACTCTGTCCCTTTCGCTTTAGGCCGTTTCCTCTTTGTTGTTCCCTCTGTCGGGTCTACTTCTTTCTGCTCCGCTTTAACGGTTTGCCATATGGTGCTCTTTGGCACCCATCGGCGATGATAGGCTTAACCAGCCGGTATGTGAGTTGTGTTCAATATGTCCTTTCTCTGTGCAGTCACTGAGGCCAGAAATGCGTGCAGTGGAAGACCGGAGCTACGAAGGCGAAGTTTCTGGCTTGCGTGCAAACCTGAAGAGGTCGCGAACACTGCATTGAAGCTCCTGGCACTTGTTCCAGCTTAGCTGATCAGCAATTAGTTGTCTCCTTTCACGTTTTTTTTCCCATCTGAAGGGGCTTGGGCAAGGGCCTCGCTACACCTGACTTGCTGCTTTATTTCGTTGCTTTTCAGCTGACTTGGGTTTTACCTAGCTATATTTCAATTCAGGCCGTTGACATGCAGTTGGGGTATCAGTCCTAGTATACGCTGGTTGAGTTCAGGCCAGTGCCCGTCTTGAGTTCCTCAGAAGTATGATAGTCTTTGAACTCGAGTTTACTCTGAAAAATACTGAGTTACGTGGATCCAAAGCTTTCTTGCTTCTTCATGCTGTCAAATTGTGACTCTTCCGGAACCCGCGAAGGATATGTTTACACTGTGTACAACCTGCATGGATATTCGTGATAGTGATGCCAGTAATTGCAATTAGCTCTATCAGTAACACGCATTACATCGTACGAGCAACCAGCCTACTGCCGGGGCTCGTAGGGCGTGACGTTGACAGTGACAGTGTAGTCTTGCTGCTCCGGGTTGACTTGCACCTCAATGGGCTCGCTTGTGACCAAGTCGCCCTTCCTGGGGGTGCGCTCCTCCTCCTGGGCGTTGGTGTAGCCGTCCCAGCCCACATGAACTGCGGCCTCAATGGTATACTTGACGGATTCTTCTGGAGCAGTTGGCACCTTTGCGCAGAGGAAGGCGGGAACTGGCTTCTGAGGCACGTAGATCGCACTGATATCTCCGGCGAAGAGAGAGATAACCTCGGGCGCTCCGGTGTCTGGGTCTGTCTCGCGCAGAGTGACCACCAAGTATGTGGGCTTGGGCAGGGAACGGGGAGCTTTAATTTCCACTGCAGCCTTCACAGCGATGCCAGACACGTCTTCAGATAGCTGCGTAAAGTTGCAGTCGGCCACAGAAAGCTCCCCGTTGCTGCTGCCGCTGTCCACCTTGGCCAGGGTCAGGTCCGCCTCGTAGCTGTCGCTTCCCGCTGTGACTACGGTTTCCCCAATGCACTCAACTCTGTCTTCCTCGCTTGCATCCAAGATGCGGGCCTTGAGTGAGATCTTCTGGGCGTCAAGCTTCTGCATGTCGGCGCAGAAAGAATAGGGGATCTCGGACTCTGGAGTGTACTGCTCGAGGGGAATGGTGTGCGTGTAGATTGGGGCCTTTGGCTCTTCGCCAGATGCCACCTCTTCAGACACATCAATCGTCAGCACAGCGTCACGAGACAGACGTCTTGGCCTCTCGTTTTCATCAAACGTCGCGCGGCCTTCGAAACGCACCTCCCCAGCAGCACAGGGGGGAGGGGTTTGTTCAGGCTCAGCGCGCACAGCCAGCGCGGCCGCAAGGGCCACGGCGATCAGGTGCTTAGGAGCCATTTCCCAACTATGTACCGAAACCTGAAAAGCAATACAAAGGGGTAGACGACTCACGGATAGAAACCGGCCATTACTCGACTGTTTCGCGAGTCACATGTAACACGGAAGTCAGATGCAAACGCACAGGGTGGGGGGCTGGCGAGAAGAGGTCTAAACCGAAGCACTGAAATAGCTGCGCCGACGTTGGCAAACACGAAGTGAGCATTAAAGACTCAATGCATTGACGGTCAGGTGGGAAAACAAAACATTGAGTAGTTCCAATTCAATTTCATATCCTGGTAATGATTAATGGAAGAAGACAAGTATGAAAGCTTCACTTTCACTCCTGCGTTTGGGTTGCTCGCGGACGCTCACTCAGAAAAACAGGACAGAAAAACCCACGGCCAAGAGTTCCCTTCCTTACCTGCAGTAGTCCAAGGCTTGAACAAATGGAAGAAAGCTTTTAATGTTCTTTTAAATGACGTAGTCATCATAATTTATGAATCCATCCAGCCTGCGTACTGTGCGCTGCTGCCTGATAGGCGGGGTGTCGCCTATCGCTCAGGCTGCACTGGTCGCGCTGCCGACCAGACCGGGTGTCTGTGAGCGACTATTTCACCAAGTTGCGGCTTTACTCACATGAAACACAAGCAATTGGACGAAAAATCTTGCATTCTAACATTTAAGTGCTTGAAATATCGCGGAAATATATCACTGTTGGCACACTTCCACTTGAGCACCCCACTGCCCTCTTTGCGTTGTCTGCTGAATCGAGCGCACTCAAACCAGCCTTGCATCTTGACAAAGCAAGCCGAATTATTTTTGTATCAGTTTAAGTCTGATAATGAGTCAATTTGAGGCCTACACACAGCGAAATTATCGCGCCTTGCGGGCGGCTACGGAACATCATCGCACCATCAGAACACTCCCGCGTACCTGGACTGACAGCTAGCTTGCAATGCTTCATATCAACGCTAAATTGCATAAGTTTGACCTGTTTCAGACACGCAAAAAGGGGACTGACTGAGGTCCCTTCTGAACTTCCGGCGCTCGTCTAGATGGTGACCTTCGGCATCAGATGCTTTTGCACGCAACCACACAATGGATATGCCTTGCACAGCTAATGGTAATAACATATGACAGCTTTTGGCTAGCGTTTGAAGGCTGGGCAACTGCAATGCCACATACCATGAACAGCCACCGAGATGATACTAGAACAAGTACCGGAAGCTGCGCGTGGTGGCCGCATATACCCGTAGCAAGTCTTGGGTCCTTTCAGCTAGTGTCAGTTGGGTGTGGACAGCCGCAGGTAGTAGTGGAAAGCCATAGGTAATTTTGAAATTTTGGCTACGGCCAGCCTGCTGCTCGCCTACGTTGTGCGTGCCACTAATTGGAGGCAAAGGTACAGTATGGCGGGGAGACTTTTGAGCTTTCTAACTAAGTAGAAAAGCCGAAGCAAATATGCCGATATGTCTACATATGCGCAAACGTGTACCTGTGTTAGGGCAGGCCCTTTTATTTCGAATGAACATATGATATGCTAGGTTGCCTGAATATTATGTTGCAGTCACACGCATGCATTTGCGCTTTCATGTGACTGTGAATGGCTTTATGATTTCAAATTTGTATTTCTTCTCTCTGCTGTAGCGGAAAGTAGTCGTCAGCTATTCTTAGCGCCCTATGATTTCCCGTTTTCAAGCTTCTTGTGTTTGAATAACACTCATGTCCCTGAGCTCCTTTACATCCACTTTTTACTCTATTTGTTTGGTGCACTCCCTCTTCTTGTTCTTTGGTTGCATAGATGATGTACTTTTTTCGTTTATCGCCTCGCTGCATTTCAGTTTTATCTTCTTTGTTTGTTCTTCCCTTTATTTAGTTGATTGAACTGCACACCAATTGGACTAAGAATACCAAAAGTATAAAGCGAAACAAGAAAGCAAAGCAACAACCCCCAAGCTGCCTTCGTCATATTTGCTTGTGTTTTTCCGTTCGTTTCGTGCATTTTACCGTTGTGTGGCTGTCGCAAGAAATCCTCAACCCTAGGCCCTAAACCCTAAACCCTAGGCCCTAAACCCTAAACCTTTGATACTGCAGTGTGTGCTGAAATGTGCAGCGGACAACAGCTGCAGGTACAGTATCCACATCAATGACATCAGAAATAAAATCTTTCGCAGAAGCAACTGCAACAACAACCCTAGCAGCAGGAGCGTCAGACCTACTGCGAATGCCTTGGACACCGTTTCTGCTGCTCTGAGTTGGTACTTGTTGAAGTCTATTTGCAGCCCAAGTGCTCCTCCAATCTAAATCAAACTTCATCTGGGCTCAACAAACTCTGTTGCTGGGAAAAATTTAAATTCTAGTGTTACTTCTACTGAAACTTATTGCTGGTATAGTGGGGTACCGTGGAACAGCGGCAGCGTTCTGCGGCCGCTGGTGTGGCGGCGACGAGAATTTAAAACGATCATGAGTGAGAGCCTAGAAAATGGAAAATTATGAATCAAACAATTGAAATTAATTTACTCTTCGCCACTTTCGCATTGAAAATGTAACGGATGGCAACTTCAGCATTTGTTGAGCTGAGGTCGGCCTGCACACCGGGGCATCGAGCGCTGCTTGCTGAGTGAATAGAATAGGCGAACACGAATCGTCTTAGATTATGTAGAAAGAAGCAAAAAGGAAAATAAATATAATAAGTTATACCGACCTTAAGTACGTCAAGGACTCGGGCGCTACAGCCCGGAGACAGTAACTGTGAAGGGAGCGACAGCCTCAGCGATTTCCGAGACACTCCATGCTGTACATTGACCTTTATTTTTTTCATGTAATAGCTTTGAGCCCTTGGAGAATCCTTAGTTTGCTGTTATTTTTTTGCGAGCCTCTGCCAAGGATGCGCCGCATGCAGCAGCAACGGGAACAACGGCTGCAGCACCAGAAGCCTAATTAGCAGCAGCAACAGACTGCTACTCTCGTCGCAGCTGCCCGGTTGAGCTACCGGGGTCCTTTATGCGCCAGGTCTTCTCCGTTGCGGCGGCAACAGCAACAGCAGCGTAGCCAGCGGCAGCAGCAGCAGTGAGCTCCGTCTCGTCCTCATCCAGTACCTGCTGCTGCATGCAGCTTCTCCGTTGACACGGGAGAACCATCTTTTCCTTACCTGCCTCCTTAGGTACGGCCGAAGCTGCGTGCATTGGTCGTTTCTGTGCCGCAGCTGCTGCTGCTGCCGCAGTTGCTGCTGCTGCTGCTGCTGCTGCTACTGCAACTGCTGGAGCTGCGGCTGCGTCGTCTTTGCACTGGAGACTCGCTGGATCTCGTGTGGGCTGGCCTGGAGCTGCTGCTGCTGCAGCACCAGGAGCACGGGCGATGCTCCTGCTGCTGCTGCAGCACCAGGAGCATTGGCCGCGCCAGAAGTAGTACGAGCAGCAGCAGCAGCAGCTTCTATCGCCGCAATGCCTGACTTCCGCCGCATGAATTCCTGGTTCTTTGTTGAGGTCACGGCAGCCGCTGCAGCAACTTCTGCTGCAGCAGCAGCAGCAGCGCAGTCATCAGCACCACTAGCAGTAGCAGCAGCATGAGCAACAGCAGAAACAACAACTACAACAGCAGCAGCAATAATAACAGCTGCAGCAGAAGCAGCCAGGGACCTTGGCCTGGGCATATGCGAGCCCCCAGCGCATGCACTGATAAGTCGCACTTTGGTTCTCGCCATTCTCTCCATAACTTGCCTGCTGCTGCTGCTGCTGCTGCTGCTGCTGCTTACCAAGAGCAGCAAACCCAGTATTCCAGCAGCAGCGGTTACAGTAGCACGGCTCCCGAGAACAGCAGCAGAAACTCCACGGCCACAGTAGCAGCAGCAGCATAAAAAAGGGAAAAGCCAGCGGCAGCAGCAGCACAAGGAGCAGCAACGGCAGAGCTAAAACCACCAACTGCAGCAGCAGCAGGAACACAACCAACGGCAACAGCGGCGGCCACAGCAGCAGCAAAAGCTGCAGCAGCAGTGGCAGCAGCAGCACCAAAACCAGGAAGAACAGTAAAGGAAGCGACAGCAAGACCGGCAGCAGCAGCGGTAGCAGCACCACGAAAAGCAGCAGCAGCAGCAGCAGCAGCAGCAGCAGCAAAATTACGACAGAATGGGTCTGTGGGTGCGCCTTTGCCCCTGTGTTTGTGGGGCCGACTGGCCTGGGCAAATTTACAGGTGGTGTTTGCTGCGGTTGGGTTTTGAGAAATATGTTGCAAGTTTAGATCAGCCGGAAGTGCATCAGAAGCGCATGGGCAACATAGTGATCCGCACGCAGCAGCAGCAGCAGCAGCAGCAGCAGCAAGAGGCTACTGCGAACGCGGCGCTCGGCGTCAGCAGTTGGAACAACTGCATCCGCACCACCCAGTACACCTGGTGGAGCTTTTTGCCTTTGAATTTATTGTCGCAAATTACCCAGCCTGCAAATTTCTATTTCTTTGTCATGGCGATTCTGCAGATGGTGCCCGAAATTAGTGACAGTGATGGGATGCCTACTTTTCTCTTTCCCCTGTGCCTCGTTATGCTAATTACAGCAGCAAAGGATGCTTACGAAAACATAAACAGGGCGCAGGCTGATCGCGCGGAAAACCGCCGACTCTGCAGTGTATGTACACCCCACGGCCTGCAGCAGGTGCTCTGGGAGAGTCTCAAGCCCGGCGATGTCATCAAGTTGAATGTTGATGAGTCCGTGCCCGCCGATGTGGTACTTTTGAATTGTTCAGACCCCTGTGGGGTCGCTTACGTAGAGACAGTGCAGCTTGACGGAGAAACGAACCTCAAAAACAAAACCTGCATTCCAGCTGTGGCCAGATATGTCAATAACGACGAAGACGCTGGAACTATGAATCGTAGGCCCCGGACTCAAACCCTAAACACTTCAGCACAAACCCTAAACCCTTGGGCCAAACATTTAGGAGCATCATGGGAAGGAAGGCAGTGACTGCTCTTCTGAGTGTGGGGTGAATAGCGGGGTTGCCTTTGGTAAAGGGGCTGCTGTAAGCCTGGCTATTGCTGAACTACATCTATACATATATTATAAATTTGTGTTTACATGTACATAAATAAATATATTTTGTACAACTGCATGCGTGTGCTTGATACAATTTGTGGACACGTCTCTGACTTTCTTTTCCTCTTGCTGGTCACTTGTTTTCTGTCTCTGCTCTTCTAAGCAATTTTCTTTTTTTGCTGTTACTTGTTTTTTCAGTTGAGATTCATTACGAAGTGCCGTCGGCAGAACTGTACAAGTTCTCGGGCACTCTGCTGCTGCTGCCTTCTCCCGAACACAAAGCAGCAGCAGGAGCAGCACGGAACGAGAACCAAAACACTCGAGGCAACCTCCACACAGCAGCGTCTCCCGTGGTTTCGACCCACAGCAATGGGGGGCAGCATCTCTTGGACAAGCAGCAGCAGCAGCGGCGGACAATGCAGCAACTGGGGACCACCCGAGGCAGCAAATGGAACGAAAGCAGCAACGTGAACGACAGGACAGTGCAAGAGCCTCAAGACGCTCTTGTTGGTATCAGTAGTGCTGCTGCTGGCTCCCCACACACCTCCCCGCAGCAGCAGCAGCAGTTTGCTGTGGACATTTCCCAGTTTGTGTGGAGAGGGGCTACAGTGCGCTGCACAGAGTGGGTGTACGGTCTTGTTGTTTACACCGGCCACCAAACCCGAATAATGAAGAATACGAAACAAAGAGAGCTCAAGTATTCACGCACACAAGTGCTGTACAACCAACATGCAGTGCTGCTGGCTGTTGCCCAGGTAATGTGCTGCTTCTGCTGCGGCTCCTGCTGCTTCTGCTGCGTGTGCGGCTGCTGCTGGTGCTGCTACTGCCGATATTGGCAATACCGGCGCAACAGCTGTATTTTGGATCTTGCTGATAGTTATGTCGCTGATTGTGACTCTGTTGCTGCAGCGGGCCGGGCTGTAACAGCTGTTGCTGCTCGGAGTTTGCTGCTGGCTGCTGCTGCTTTCGACGCTGCATTTGCTTCTACTTCGACGCCTTCTTTTGCTGTTGCTTCCCACTAAGGGAAAATATGACTTTCTAGTGTCACACACCTCATTGAGTTGTTGGCAAACGCATCTTTCCATGGTTTCGACTTCGGGGTTTAGGGCCTGCGACTTGTGGTTTGTGCTTTTTGTTTCAGTTCATTTTGTGCGCAATAGCAGCAGTGGTTTATGCATCCAAAAACCAACACCTGTCAGACAACGCATGGTACTTGGATGCGCGTTGGGAGTCGGGACTGTCAAACTTCCTGACATCCTTAGGAGTGGTGAGGCATTAGACTTTAGGGTCTAGGGTTTAGGGTTTAGCCTGGAGGATTTGCATCCTAGCGTCTCCAGCTCAGAATTTTCGCCAAGGGTATACTGCGCGACAACTTTTGCTGTTTAGAACCCAGTGTCTTGCTTCAGTTGCTGTATGCTTGTTGGCTCGGGGATAAAGCTTCACCTTTTAAGCCTTGTGTTTGTTTCAGGCATTTGGTCGCTACGTGCTGCTGCTGAGCTATTTCGTGCCTATAACATTATTAGTGCAGCTTGAGGTCAGCCGCTGGTGCCAGGCGAGCTTCTTATCTGCTGATGAGCGTATGAAAGCTTCCAGCCGCAGCAGCAACAGCGGCGTCTTGGGAGCCAGTAGGAGCGGCGGGGCGTCGGGGGAGGAGGGCGGGTCCGGCAGCAGCAGCAACAGCAGCAAGGGTGGCGCAGCAGCACAATCTGTTGCCTTGATGGATGAGCTGGGAAGCGTCACTCACGTGTTTTCGGACAAGACAGGAACCCTCACTCAGAACCTCATGCAATTCAGGTGTCTAGGCATCGAACACGAGGTCTACGGATATGAAGAGTTCGAAGAGGAGGTACTAAACCCTTCACCTAAAGCGCTGAACCACAAACTCTGTATTCTAGACAAGATACACTTTGCGGGGAACGCGGTGCAGGTGGCAAAAAATCTGAAAGCACGATCTAAACAGTAGCAGCAGCAGTAAACACATGCATGCAGGGCGAGGCAGTACAGAACAGGCTTTTTGGCCTGCGAGGGTTTAGGGCTTGCGGTTTAGTGTTTGTTCCCTGCTTGTTGTGCAGAAATCGTTTGTTGTGTCAGAGAGCTGTAGTGAACTGCGTTGCATGCGCTCTCGCGGCGCTTCTTTGACTTTATCTGTCTGCGAAACTGAAGTGTTGAAGAAAGGAAAGAAGAAAGATAAAGGAGCGAAAGATGTGAATGTGTCGCCCAATGAGCACGTCGACTTTGACGCGAAAAATTTCCACGAGAAAATAGCAGCGGCTTCAAAAGAGCATCAAAGAAAGGCAAGTTATTACCTCAAACCTAAAACCACAAACCATGAATTCGAAGCCACTAGCCACCAACCCTGAACCCTAGACCTTAACTTGCAAATTGCAGCACACAAAGTACAAATGGCTCCGTGTGAAGTGAGCACCACTAACCCCAAATCAGGAACTAGAGGGCCGAAATGGCTGTAGTTGAAGCTGACCTGGCTTGACAGGTTTTTGGGCTTGCGCGGTGCGTTGTAATTGGATTTAGGCTCGAGACGCTCTGATGGTTTTGGCTTTGTGTCATTCTGTTCTGCCGAAACCTTCGGCGCCTCTTCCTGAGCGGCTGGACATTTCCTGCACTGCGGAACCGGCCGCTGGGACTGACGCTGCTGCAGCTGATGCTGTTGCTGCAAGTGATGGTACTGCAGGTGCTGAGGTTAGGGAACCAGTGCCGCACGTGCAGCAGCAAGAGCAGCCACAAGAGGCTCAGGAACGAGACCACCAGCAGAAGAAAAAGCATGAGGAGGCGGCGGATGGGGAGTTGCAGAAAGCGAAACAGCGGGAAGACAATCAACAAACGCAGCAGGCACAAGCGCTCGTGCAACTGTCGCCAGAAGAGGATTCACCTGGGGAAGCGCCAGCAGCAGAACCTGCTGTTGACGCCACTGCAGCAACGCCAAGAGCAACGGCAGGGACTCCTGCTGTTTCTGCTTTAAAAAAGAGGGCTGTTTCTGTCCGTTCTGTTCCCGTCTTGCCTTCCTTCGACTGGGGAGATGGACCAGGGGGAGGCACAAATTCCGAAGCTCGTGGGGGCGGCGACAGTGTTGCTTCTCGTGAAGTTGCTGCCGAAAGCGCTCCTCCACCCTTGCCTCACGTCTTTGACCCGCCAACAGAACACCACGGAAGGACATGCAGCAGCAGAAGCAGCAACAGCAGCAGTAGAGTGAAAGTGCGTCGCAGTACCAGTTACAGCAGCTGCTACAGCAGCAGCTACTACAGTGACAGCAGCAGCAGCAGCGATCTCAGCAGCAACAGCAGTGATGGGGAGGACAAAGGTTTCTGCAAACCACGCGTTGCTGCTGCAGCAGGCCGCAGCTCCCGCTGCAGCAGCGGAAGGCTCAACAGCCTCCAGCGACAGTTCAGCACCAACAGCAGCAGCGGCTTGCGGAACACACACTGCTTTCGGTACAAGAGGGTACCATCGCTGCATATGGAAGCACCACGCTTTAAATGTAAGCGGTCCCTAATTGCAAAAACGTGGACTGTATGTGTGAACTTTGCTGAGAAGCTCGCGCATGCGTGCACCTGTTCGCATTGAACTCTGTCCTTGTTGGTGCTGCTGCTGCGCACATATTTCCGTTATATGGCTGTGAGTGCTGCTGCTGCTGCTGCTGCAGCTGGTGCCGCCGCTGGTGGGGCGCTTGACCCTTCGGGCGGAACTCCGTCTGCTCGAGAGAGCCCCTCTTTGCCAGACCCAGCAGCAGCAGTAGCAGCGGCGGGCCCGCAAGTGCCGCCTGCAGCGTCGCCATCAGTTAGTTTGCGGTCTCAGTTGTGTCCAGCTTCTTCTCAGCAGCAGCAGCAGCAGCAGCAACAGCAGCCAGACGTGACCTTATGCCATTTCCCCTTGGAGCTGGCAGCAGCCTACGACGCTTCCAGCCCGGACGAGCTGGCTTTGACAGCAGCAGCAAAGCACTTGGGGGCAGAATTTGTCTGCAGGCCGAACTTGAACGCGATCCAGCTAGCTGTGCGCTCCGAGCTAGCTGCAGAGGCTCTCCTGAGCGACGCAGACCGCCGCCGCATAGAAGCCCTTGCTGCCGCCCACAATGAGCAGCAGCAAAAGCCGCAGGACGTGGTGCCTGTAGTGAACATAGAGCTGCTGGAGGTGCTTGAGTTCGACAACTACCGCAAGCGAATGTCTGTCGTCATCAGGGACCGCAACGGGCGGCTACGGCTGCTTATCAAGGGAGCAGACACGAGCGTCTTTGCTGTTGCTGCAGCAGGACAGGAGGAAGCAATTGCTGCGTGCAAAATGCAGCTGGGCGAGATGGCGCAGAGGGGACTCAGGACCCTCGTGCTTGGACAGAGATTCATATCCGAGAGGCAATTCGAAAAGTATCAGGCAAGAGGCACAATATTGCGCCGCTACGATTGGTGCTCTTGCTAGTGATGGCAGATTTGCAGTTGCTGTTATCGCTGCTGCTGTCGCTGCGCTGCTTGACTGTTGTGTGAGAGGTGCTTTTGCTGCGCGAGTCCAGCTGTTGTGGTGTTGTTGGTGCTGTTGCTGCAACTGGAGACGGTGGTGCTGCTGCCCCAGTTGCTGCTGTTTGTGTTGGCGCTGTCGGAGCGCTGCTGCTGTTGCGCATCGCCGGATATTTGAATGCAGCTGCGAATCGCAACCTCGAGATCCTCAAAAAGGTCAAGCTAGGAGGCTTAGATTTTGTGTTATGGCTTGTGGATTCCGATTTGTTTTCCAGATGGAGCTGATGGCGGCCAAGGATCAAACAGGAGAAAGCAAAGAGGCAGCAGTTGCTGCTGTCTTCGCCCGCATGGAGAGAAATATTGAGCTGCTAGGCTGTACCGGCATTGACGACAAGTACGTGCAAACAGTTCAGAGCTCAAGTTTTAGGGTTTAGAGTGTCCTTGAGCGTTCTGGCCGTAAGTTTTTGCAGGTTCCACTCTCCGCGCCTATTTCCGCTCCACTTTCGAGGGTTTAGGGTTTGCTACGTGAGACTTCGGGTCTTCTTGCAGGCTGCAGGACGAGGTGGTGGAAACAATTGCAGACTTAAAAGCCGCGGGAGTCAAGGTGTGGGTTTTGACGGGGGACAAATTGGAAACGGCGATCAGCATCGGCCACAGCTGCAGCTTACTGACGGACTTCACATACAATGCAATAGTAGATGGAAAGAGCGCAGAGGCCGTCAGGGAGCAGCTCCACCAATACATGTCGTATATAGTGGCGGCCCAACTGGCGGCAGATGCCTTTGAAGTCATTGCACTGAAGGCTGTGAGTTGACCTAGGCAGGAAAAGTAGATTTTGCTTAACAGAAACAGCACGAAAAAGCACACAGGCATTCAGCGGAATCACTTTACTCCCTTCGGTGCCTTCATTGCTTTTGTTTGTCGAGGTACTTCCTCTGACGAATTGGCCATTTTTGCTGCTGTCTGCCTTGTCGTTGCCACTAGTGTGTGACTTACTCTCCATTTTTCTTTTTTTCCTTGTTGTTCTTTTTCCTTATCTCCCAGCTGCAACAACAGCCCTCTGAGGTCAGCGACGAGCAACGCAGCATTTCCCCCGAGCAGCAGCAGCAGCAACGGCGCGGCATCCGCTGCAGCAAATCCCCCGCTGTTTGCTTTAGGGCTCCCGGAGGCGGGGCCGACAGTGCCTCGGTGCACAGGGCTCGCAAAGCGGAGCCTCCAACGATTCCTTGGGAGTCCTTTGTTAAAATTTTGACATTCAATGCCACGAAGAAGGTCGTCAAGGCGGACCCAAAACAGTGAGCCCTTAGGGTTTAGAGTTTAGGGTTTGGAATGCAGGCAGTGAAGTTGGAAGGTAGACCTGATCTGTGACGCAAGGCAGATGTGGCGCGTTGAAAAGGGAGATGCGGGACTAGGGTTTGAGCTGTAGGACTTAGGGCTTGCTGTTTAGGATTTAGAATCTGCTGAAGCCACCTAAATCCTGCTCTTATCATCTGACAACTATTAGCATTGACTTCCGTAGAGTATTCAGAATTGAGGGGGTAGTGTTCAGGGTTTAGCGTCTAAGGTTCAAGATTAGAGTTTGTTTGCAGGCGTCGGAACAAGCGCCTTTCCCCGCAGCAAGTTGAAGACATCGTCCAGGAGTACCTGGAGCACTTCGAAAGGGACAGCGAAGAGGGGAAAGCGCGGGAAAAGAAAATGAAAAAAGAAGGACAGAGAAGGAAGAGTCTTTCTCGCAGTAAGAGCAAGAGGGACGAGGCCTTGACAGCTGCAGCAGCTGCGGATTCGGGCGCTGCTGCACCAGCTGCAGCAGGAGCAGCGTCCGAGGAGCCAACACTCAGACATGCAACTGGCGGCGCAGCAGCAGCCACGGAAACAGAAGAGGAGCAGCAGCTGATCTGCCGATCTACTACAGACAAAAGCACAACTGACAGGCTTAATCCCTCCAGCACGTCCATTGAGATTCCGGCAGTTCAGGGATACCAGGAGTCAGCTACAGACCCTAAATCCTCAAACTTCCTTTTGAAGAGCAATGTAGCTTTCAGATTCAACTGTGGCCTACACTTTGGAGTGAGAGTCTTAACACTTGTGTGAGCTCTGAAGTTTCGGATTTAGAATCAAGGGCTTGCTTGTTTGCAGGTGTGCTATTACAATAACTGGGGAGGCTCTGACGCATGCGTTGTCAACAGCAGAAAACAGGCGGTACTTCTTTGGCTTGGCTTCTCTTTGCAATACCCTCATTGCTTGCAGAGTCTCGCCGAAACAAAAGTCGGAGGTCGTACACTACTGCCAGAGGTAAAGGGCTTACAATTATGGCTCTTGGATCTAGGGCTTATGGCATAGGGTTTAACATGAAAGGGAAATGGAGAGCAGCAGTGTGATTCTGGGTATTAGGGTTTGAGTTTCGAAATTAGGGTTTGTGTGTTTGCAGGTACCAAAGCAACACAGTATCCCTAGGCATAGGAGACGGGGCCAACGACGTGGGCATGTTAATAGCAGCAAATGTGGGAGTGGGCATAAGAGGCAAGGAAGGGCTACAGGCTGTACGCGCAGCAGATTTCTCCATTACTGAATTCAAGTCCGTCAAGCACGATAGCGTTGGGCATTTTAGTGGTCGGGTTGTTGCTTGTGTGTACTGCGTGCCTTTAGAGCTTAAAGCTTAGCGTTTACTGCAGGTTTTGCCTCTAGTTTTAGTCCAATTTGCAGTTGTGTGTGGAAGGGATGTTTGTTGGGGATGGTGTTGGTAGGTATTTTTGATTGAAGCACGGTATGCTTGTGAGCTTGTGCATACGGCATCTGGATGTTTCCTAGATGGGCCTATGGTGCATAGTCGTTAGTGCATTCTTTGTTTTAGTGAGAGTATATGTGCGTATATTTAGCTCATAGCAGAAGCAAGCTGGTACCCAAAATTGTAAACTTTAGACCTTAGACCCGCATGAAAAATAGTCTTGAGTCTGCGTAGACGCAGATTAGTATGTAGAATGGATTGCATTCAATATGATGGGAGAATTCACAAGCAAGGCAGAGTTTAGTGTTCTAATCCAACCATATATCATGTACATGCAGAGAAGTGAGTACGTACATATTCTCGCGGGGGATTTGCCTGTTTATTCGACCTAAAAGGTATTAAACAGGCCTTTAGGGATAGCTACTTCTTTTTGTCTTGTCCGCCTGCATGAAGGTACTTGAAGAACTTGCTGTTTTGTCACGGGGCTGAGGCTCTTCGCCGCAACTCATTCCAAATATATCAGACGATATGGAAGAACGTGGTTTTCGGGTTGGCAGATTTCTTTTACGCCTTTGTCTCGGCCTGGTCGGCCGCTGACCTGTTTAATTCGTGGCTTAAACAACTCTTTAATGTGTTATACACCACACTTCCCGTGGTACTTTACTCCATCTTTGACAGACAGCTGCCGATGGAGGTCACGCTGCAAACTCCAGTACTCTACCCAGCTTTTGCAAGTAAGCATGGACTCCATGCAGTTCTGCATGATGGCAAGGTTGTGAATTCGTGGATGTCTGCACGTTCAGCATTGGAGCCGCCTGCATGTCGCATTTTGATCTTTTATGAATGGTGGATTAATTAACACAACTCAGAGTTGAATCCACTCCTTTATTCTATATGCCGCTTTGTGACGTTTGCTCAGAGCTGGGAGTCCAGCGGTTTGCAGGTGCGGGTTTATTTTGGCGCTGGTTCGTCTACGGCTTGTTCACAGCATGCTGCTGCGTCTTTATTCCTCTCTACGGGCTGGGGTGGGGTGGCATAAACCTTGAAAACGATGGTCATTTGAGCCTCACAGTTCGGTTTGAAGGCAGTTGCGTTTTTTGGGTGATAATTGTGGTAAGACCTGGACCCGGAGAATTGCTTGTAAAGCTTAGCTAGTTGTGACACTTGTTCCAGTCTTTTGTCTTTGGCTGAAAAGCGGAAATGCGCATTCCCGTTCTTGAACATATGAGTTCAGGTTTGCGGATTCGACTTGCCTGTGCAGGTCTGCAACTTGATCATCATTCCATACCTGCACACGTGGTTTTGGTTTATATGGCTAGCAGTGTTTTTGGACTTTGGATTCTGGTTTTTGTCCGCGGGAGTTTGCCCTTTGGTCCCTGGAGAATACTGCCCCGATTTGTACGGAGCTCTGCGAGCGACGCACATCTTCAGCCGCCACTATTTCGCAGTGGCTCTAGCGGTGGTGGTGGTGCTGTTGCCTCCTTTCCTGAATTGGTTTTATGAGGTAAATATTCCGGTTTTTGAATCTTTAGGGTTTAGTTTAGCAACTTTCGACAGCCTGCAGCTTTTCTTCTTATATTCACGTTTCTGTGAACAAGACTCGTGCAAAGCAGCACCGAAATTAGGAAGAAAACTTTCTGAACTACTGCGATTATTGCGAAGAATTTGTGTGTAAGAAACTTTAAACTTCCATTTTGCTCTATTTCACCTTCAGACAATGTTTCGGCCTTCTGCCCAATGCATTATTCGAGAACGCATTGCCTTAGGCGTATTTGACGTTGTGGTCGCCCCGAGAGGAAACGCAAAGACAGTTGTTGTGGTCCCGAAAACTCGCAGTGAAGAGTGGAGAGGATACGCATTTGCTGAGCAGGTAAATAAGTCTAACTTTCTTGTTCAATTAATTGATCACTTAATCAACTGTTTCATCGGTGCACAGCCTTGATTGCTTGCACTCCCTATCGATTCTGTCTAGTTAACCTTTTCATGCATCATTTGCTCGCACCCATTCATATTTGAACTGGGGTTTGGAAAGCAGTTAAGTTCAAGAGGAAAAGGAAACAGCAAACACATAATGCAGCGACAAACTTCTAGTGCTCCCACACCTTCATGGGTGGAACAAACCTTAGATATAAATGCCAACAGAGAGTCCCGGGGATGCAATTGCTGTCGATACGGTGCTGCTGCAACTGCTGCTGCTGCTGCTGCTGCTGCTGCTGCCTCGCAGGACCGTACTCGCCTTGGGCACCACCGTCTGTCTCTGATGCACTACAGCAGCAGCGCACTTGCGCAGAACTCCGCTGGAATGGAAGCAGCAGCAGCTGCTGCTGCTGCATCTGCTTCGCGGCTCAACAAGGGCTTGTCACAACAGAACAGCAGCGGCTTGCGGCCAGGCAGCAGCTGCGGCACGTTGCCGCTCTTGCCAGCAAGCAGGCGCTCTCAGTCTGCTGCTACGAACGCAGCGCTGCGCAGCACGTGAAGCCCCACAGCTGCTGGAGGCACACTCGCACGCATGCATGCATGCATGCATGCGTGAGTGCATTCGTTTGTACACATATATAGATGAACTCAATGGTAGTTCTTTGACGCGTCTGCCGCACCTTGCAACACTAGGACTTGGGAGTATTCTTGCGGAGAACTTGCAATGGCTTACAAGCGTTGGTTCCAGTTGCTGCTGCTGCTGCTGCTGCTGGGCAGGTAGCGAGGCAGCAGCAGCTAGCTAGCAGCAACTGCCAGCCACCCTACTTTACTGAGATTTGCCTTTAGATCCGCAAGGCTACTGGAGTGGCTAAGAAAACTAGTGGCCTCTAACCGCATTGGCCATTTGCAGTTTGATTTCTTCCTTTAACTAGTCTGGCTGCTACCGTTTCTCCCGTTGCTGCTGTTGCTGCTGCTGCCAGCGATAGCACGCTGCAGTGGTTTGCTCCTGTGGTTGGTGGCTGCTGCTGCTGCTTGCTGCTGCAGCTTTCAGTGCTGTGAAGCGAGGGTTTGGGGATTCTGGCTGCCGTGTGTTTTTGGCGGTTTGCTGCTGCAGTGCCAAGAGGTTTTTGCTGTTCATTTGCACTGCTGTCCACTGAAGTGCAGCAGACAGCAGCAAACTGAGGGTGGACTTGCTGCAATGTCTTTCTTATCTTTCAACTTTAAACTGGAACTTGGAAGCAGCAAAGTTGCGCAGAGACAGCAGCAAGTGAATATTGAAGAATCGGCAGCTCCGCCGTGCACGGCTGGCAGGGGGCGATCAGAGGCTGAATGCATTGGGCTTAATTGACTTAAATATGTAAATCAATAAACATAAAATAAATTTCAAATACGTTTTCCCGCAGAGGCTCAATTAAGGGCTCATTTCTACGGCCCTCCGGTGAGTGTTAGTGTTCGCATGGGTGTTTCAGGTTGCTCGGGACGAGCAGCTTTTGTTTGTGTCTACTGAGTGCATCTCTTTCCCCTTTGTCTGCATTTGCTTTTCATAGACTGAAATAACACAATAAAGACTTAAAGAAGGAGCCGAAGGCACAAATTACCTTCTCTTCGCGCTTCCCAGGAGGGGGGAAATCTCCCCCCGTGGCGCTGAGTTGAGCGTGACTGCTCCTTTGGGCAGTTGAGGTAAAAAGAAAGAAATAAAAAACACACAGGCCTTAATGCGCTTTCGTAATCATCTCCATTTTGAATTAATCCTTTTGAACTCTGTTGCTGATGCTGCACGTACACCTGGTGGCGCCACCGCCACATCCCTCTGCTGCTGCTGCTGCTGCTGCATGCATACAAACACAGCCTCCACCGAGTGACTCGGGAGCAAAAGGTGATTTTTTAAATTTAATCTGTTTCGAGTGACTTTTTGCATTGCTTAGCTCATTGAAACTGCGGGCTGCTGCTGTGGAAAGCAGGAGAATCAGTCACCGGTCACCGCAAGCAACTGCTGCAGCAGCGGCAACGGCAGCAACAGCTGCAGCAGCGGCGCCGGAAGCAGAAGAGGCACCAGCGCAGAAGCGCAGTCAAGCTCCTGTGTGCCTCACGGCCCACTCAACACCGCCGCAGCCAGGCTGCAGCAGCAGCAGCAAAACAGCTCGCCAGAAACCCACCACTGAGCCGCCACAGTGGCAGCAGCTGCTCTTTTTGCTGCCGCAGATGCCGCCGCTGCAGCTGCAGCCATGCGCAGGCGTCGCAGGGACAGGTTGACTGTCGTGACACTGCAACGCCACAGAGGCGCTGCAGCAGCAGCTGCAGCTGTCTGTGTCCACAGCAGCAGGAGCAGCAGCAACAGTAGCAGCAACGGCGGTGGCCAGCGGAGCTGCAGCAGCAGCAGCGGAGTCATCCACAGCAGCAGCAGCTGACGCCTCGACACCTGCGTGCGGCTGTTGCTGCTCGCCAAAACATGGAGGGACTGGCTCTGCTGCTGCAGCGGCTGCAGCAGCAGCAGCAACACCAACAGCAGCAGTCGCCGGAACATATGCAGGATTTGCTGCGCCGGATCAAGGAGTACACGGAGCAGCAAAGAACAGCCGAGAAGTGGCTGCACGCGCTGCAGCAGCAGCAGCAGCAGCAGCAGCAGCAGATGCAGCAGACGCTGCCGGTTGAACAACAGATGCTGCACCAGATTATAGGGAGGCAAACAGCGCAAGTGCGTGTTCTGCAGCAGCTGCAGCAACTGCAGCAGTTGCAGCAGCTGCAGCAGCTGCAGCAGCAGGCTCCCGGGGTGCTGCAGCAGCTGCTGCAGCAAGGCGGGACTCCGCAGGAGGAGCAGCAGCAGCTGTTGTGTGCCATAAGCAACAAAAATCTGCTGCTGCGGCAGCTGCATAACCAGCGGCAGCAGCTAGCAAGTCAACTGCAGCAGCAGCAGCAGCAGCAGGTTGCTGACCAGCTGGCAAACATATTAATAGCTGAAAGAAAAGTATCGCAGCAGAAAAGCTCTTTAGAGAAGCAGCAGCAGCTGCTGCAGCGAGCAGCAGCAACAGCTGCTGCTAGACCTGGGATACCTGCAACTGTTGCTGCTTCTACTTCTCCGACGAACTGTGTTCGGCAGCAACTGCTGCAGCTGCTGCAGCAGCAGCAGCAAGCAGCCGCAGCCGGAGCAGGCAGCAGCGGGGGTAAGAGCAGTTTCTTTGTGCCGGCTCTGCAGCAGCGGCAGCAGCACGAGGCTGCGCTGCATCAGCAACTGCTGCAGCAGCTCAGCAGCAGCAGCAGCAGCAACCAATACGCCGCAGCTGCTGCTGCTCCGGTAAGAAAGCGAAGAGCAGCCCCGAGACGGCGGCAGCAGCGCCAGCTATTCCAGCCGCAGCAAGCGCTGCAGCAGCAGCAGCACGAGGGGCTGCAGCAGCAGCAGCAGCAGCAGGAGGGGCAGCAGCAGCGGGAGGAGCAGCAGGAGCAGGAGCAAGATGGAGACGCTGCTGCAGCTGACGACAGCAGCTGCAGCAGCAGCGAGGACGGCAGCAGCCGACTGAATGCCAAGGAAAGGCAGCAGCTGCTGCTGCAGCAGCAAGAAGAGACGCTGCAGCGGTGCTGCGCCCAGGCGACTTCAGTGCTGCGGTGGCAGCACCTGCGAAGGAAGCAGCAGAAGCAGGAGCAGCAGCAGGAGCAGCAGCAGCAGCAGCAGCAGCAGGAAGACAGCAGGGGGAAGCGCCGGCGGGTGCAGCAGAGCAGCAGCAAGCGGGAGCAGGAGGGAGGCGACGGCTGCAGCCCCGCAAACAACAGCAGCAACAACAGCAGCAGCAGCAGCAGCAGCAGCGAGAGCGACGGGGAAAGCGCAGCAGCAGCAATTGGCCGCAAACTGTACAGACGGCTGAAGCAGCTGGCAGTGGACCAAATTATAGATCTTAAGGGAAGAGGCAGAAGAGGGAAATCTGCGAAAGACACAATGTCTCTCAACCAAAAAATAGATGTTTTCATCAACAACGGGTACCTAAACCCTAAACCCTAAACCCTAAACCCTAAACCCTAACCCTGTGGTGAGAACGGGGGCTGCAGCAGCGCTCGTGGCGCGGGTGGAGGCGCGTCTGTGGGGCAGCGCTGCGCTGCTGCTGCTGCTGCTGCTGCTGCTGCTGCTGCTGCTGCTGCTGCTGCTGCTGCTGCTGCTGCTGCTGCTGCTGCTGCTGCTGCGGGGAGCAGCAAGGCGGGCCGGCGGGTTTTTGGGCTGCTGCAGCGTGGCCTGCGGGACCACGGAGAACCTCTCGCCGCTGTGCAACGTGTACACCGTAACTTACCGTTTTAAACCTCAAAATCACATTTCGATGCTTTCGGACTTGAAGAGAGTTCGGCTGTACAGACAGGCCATTGACTGTCTCGCCAAAGAGGCGAACACGGCGTTGGAAATTGGCTGCGGGCCGGTCTGCATTCTCGCCATTAACGCGGCGAGGGCTGGTGAGAAGACAAGTTCTTTTTGTTTGTTTTCTTTTTATTTCTTTTTGTTTTGCATTTTCATTTCCTTCTTTCCTTCGCTCCGTCACGGGCTTCTTTGCGGTGTCTGCGCAGACACCGCAGCGTGCTGGGTCGTGTTTGCAGCTTTGCAAGTTCAGCTTCTGCTGCTGCTGCTGCTGCTGCTGCTTTTCTCGCAAAGGGGCGCTTATCCTTTTGCTGCTTCTTCTTTTCGCCTGTGCTGCTTCATTTGGGACTATTTAATCTCGAGTTTGTCGAACTTTAGTCCAAGTTGAACGAAGTTGAATGCTGCTTTCTTGTGCGCAGGAGCGAAACATGTGACAGCTCTGGAAGTTTCCCGACGCTCCGCCGCAGAGGCTTCTTCTTATGTCCGCATTTACGGATTCGACTCCGTCATTAAAGTGCATGCATTGTATTCCAAAGAGGCAGACCTGCCGGCCCTCGCTGCAGAGGCCAGGCAGACGCTGCAGCAGCGCCAGCAGCAGCAGCAGCAGCAGCAGCAGGAACAGGAGCAGGAGCAGGAGCAGGCTGCGGTGAAGCAGCAGGGCGCCGCTGGGAAGAACGGAACCAACAAGGCTAAGAAAACGCCGCAGCCCAATCCCAAGGGCAGCAGCAGCAGCAGCAGCAGCAGCAACAGCAACAGCAACAAAAACAGCAACTGCAGCCGCAGCAAGGAAAACAAGGGATTCGATTTGCTGATCCATGAAATCATTGGAGATATTTGCAGCAATGAGGGAGTGGCCGACGTGATTCTCGACATACAACAGAGAACGGGTAACTAGCTGCTGCTGTTACTGCTGTTACTGCTGTTGCTGCTGCTGCTGCTGCTGCTGCTGCTGTGGCTGTCGGTGGGCTGCTCTCTATGCTGGTAGCGTTATATGTCATTTGGCATGCAGAGGCAGCAGCAGCAGCTCCAAGTGCAGAAGGTTATTTGCTATCATATGTTTCACTTCCCATACTAAGCATTCTGCCTTTCTGCTGCTGCTGCTCCCGCTGCTGCTGCTGCTGCTGCTGCTGCTGCAGGTCGCGTGTCTCGGTCTATTCCTTACGCCGGCCGCACTTGGTTCGCTCCTTGTGAATTTCCCCTGGAGCGCCACATCGCGTTTCCCCATAATAAGTAAATTTGCTGTTTTTGCTACTGCTGCTGCTGCGTTGCTGCTGCTGCTGCTTTCCTGCTGCTGCTGCTGCGGTTCTGCCGTTGCTGCTGCTTGCCGCTTGTGTTCGTGTCTGTACATCGAGCATTTCGCAATCCAGTGCTTTTATTTGAATTAAAATATTAAATTGAAATTTATAATTTGATGTTTTTGTTTTATTAAAGTTATTTAGTTAAACTTCTGTGCCGCCTGCATGCCTCCCCTTGCTTTCTTCAGCTCTTGCCCTGCCTAGCTAGCAAACCCACTCACTACTCATCCGCACCTAGCTAGCTAGCTAGCTAGCTCGCTAGCTAGCTAGCTAGATGGATAGATACGTATCCGGTTAGCTAGCGCTGTAGCCAGCTAGCTAGCTGAGTCGCTAGCCAGCTAGCTAGCTACCTGGCTGGGTAGCCGGGCAGCTATATAGCTAGCAAGCTGTGCAGCCGGTTAGCTAGCTAGCTAGGTAGCTAGCCAGCTAGCCAACTGTCCAGCTAGCTAGCTAGCTAGCTAGCTAGCCAATTATCCAGCTAGCTAGCTAGCTAGCCAGCTAGCTAGCTACCTGGCTGCGAAGCCGGGCAGCAATGTGGCTAGCAAGCTGTGCAGCCGGTTATCTATCCATCTATCTATCTATCCATTCGTCTAGCTAGCTTGCAAGCTAGCCAGCTAGCTCGCGAGCAATCTAGCTAGCTAGCTAGCTGGGCGTGGGCGTTGGGCGTGCAGGTTTCCGCTGCGGACAGTGGTGTCGCCGGGGCGGGTTTTGTTTCAGTCTGTGGGCCTTCGGTTTCAGCGGCTGCTGCTGTCTGCTGAATTTGCTCCTTTGGAAGAATTGCTTTTCGAAGAAGACATGGCGAAGCAAATGCTGCAGAAGAGAACAGCAGTCTTCACCTGCACCCGAGCAGGTGACTCCCGTGGCTGCGCTGGCTAGCTCGCGAGCTAGCTAGCGTGGCAGCTAGCTAGCTGGCTAGCTGCAGTGGCTAGCTGGCGAGCTAGCTAGCTTGGCAGCTAGCTAGCCAGCTGCACTAGCTGGCTCGCGAGCTAGCTAACTTGCTAGCTAGATCTCTAGCTACAACAAGCTAGCGAGCTACGTAGCTTTGTCGCTGCCTGGCTAGCTAGCTAGCTAGCTAAGTAGGTTAAGGCATGCGGAGTTGTCTGGGTAGAGGGGTCGCTCCACGGCAATGGCTCCTTGCCCAGATGGCTGGCTAGCCAGCTAGATAGCTAGCTGGCTAGCTAGCTGTGAGTGGAGAGTGGTTGCGTGTGCGGTGCCGACTTTACTTTATGTATGTGGCGGGCGACTAGCCCTGTAGCTAGCTAGCTAGCTAACCTGCTAGCTAGCTAGCTAATGAATTAGCTGCCACGCCCTGCACTTTGCTGCTGCAGGCAAAATGGCTGGTTTTGTTCTTTGCTGCGAAGTGGAGCTGCTGAAGGGGCTGTCGATTGACCACCGTAAAGGCGAAGAGGAAAGCCACTGGTGAGAGGCCGCCTACTGCTGCTGCTGCTGCGCGTGCTGGTGTTGCTGCTGCTGCGTTTGCTGCTGCTGCTGCTGCCGCTGGCAGCTCGCTAGCGTCTTCTGAGGGGTTTCGCGCTTTGTGTTATGCGGGAGCAGCTGCTGCTTCCTTTGACCCGTGTTGCTGTGTGGCTGCTGCACGACTCGTAGCTGCTCGCGCAGAGACAGCAACAGCAGCAGCAGCAGCAGCAGCAAGAGCAGCAGCAGCAGCAAGAGTGGTGTGTGTGGGTGCTACTTAGGTACACGAACATCGCCATGTTGAGGGAAGAAGTGGAGGTGCTGGAGGGTGACACAGTTGTGGTGTATACATGTGCGGACTTGTTGAATTACCAGGTGGGAAAGCTCTTCTTTAGGAGATAAATATTCGCCATTTATAAAAATTTAAAACATTTCAAAAAATAAATATATTTGTAGTGCTTATTTGCTGCTGAAAAGGAGGAAAGTGCTCGTGCAAGCTATATGATTCTGAATAACCACTTTGTGTAGTACGTGGTTGGAGCGCATGTACCTTTCAAGCATGCAGATATATCATTTATTCAAAAATAAACACTCTAAATAAAACATTTTTGATTATATGGTCTTTTATCGCATCTTTCTTGTGCAGAAACAAAGGCAAACTGCTTTTTGCAAAGAGTTGGCCATTGCTACAAATATGCGTATCACCACTGCATGCATTGTGCGCATGTTCCGACTTTTTTGCCGCGCAACATGTGGAATAAGATGTTTTTTAAAAATAGTTTATCCTTTACATGCATATTTACATCCATTATAGATGCATGCGTTTTATTTATTTGATTTGTTTGCTGCTGCTGCCTCGGCAGCAGGCTGGCTCCCTAGTTTTTCCCCCCCACAGCAACTTTTCGCTCCTCTGCTGCGCCTCGCTGCCGAGCCTCCTAGCTAGCTAGCTGGCTAGCTAGCTATCCAGTTAGCTAGCTAGCTAGCTAGCTAGTCGCCCATCAGCTGAGCAGCTGAGAAGCGAGCTGCTCAGCAGGGCAGCTAGCGAGCGTGACAGGAGTCACGCTAGCTGGCTAGCTATCTAGCTAGCTAGCGGGCTAGCTAGCTAGATAGCCAGACAGCTAGGGTACATGGCTAGCTGCTTGTATGTGCTGCAGACAGTGGACGTGCCTTTGGGCTGCTGCTTGTCGGACACGCCGGAGATGCAGCAGACTCAATTTCCCGACAAGATAATCACGACGCCTCCTCGCAAGAAGCTGCTGCAGCAGAAGCAGCGGCAACAGCAGCAGCAGCAGCAGCAGCAAGCCAGAACGCCATCTCCTGAGGAGCACACAAGCGGCAGCGGCGTTCAAGCAGCAGCAGCAACGCCGCAGCCACAGGATGAGGAAGACGAAGAGGCGTGGCGCTACCCGTTTGCTGCTGAGCTGCAGCAGCAGCAGCAGCAGCAGCAGCAAAAAGCCCCTCCGGGCCACCGGCGCATTCGTTTGTCTCGCCCCCGTTTTTCTCTTTCCGCAGAAATCCACAGGCTGCCAATTACCCCTCTTAAGGGGAGCTGCAGTTGCAGCTGCGGCGGCAGCAGCACCACTAGCAGCAGCAGCAGCAACAGCAGCAGCACGGCAGCGACGACGCCGACTGTGAGCGAAGATAGCAACAGCAGCAGCGGCACAAACAGCAGCAATGTAGCAGCAGAGAACTCTCCTCAAGGGTCTCCTGATGCTGCTGGAGACAGCAGCAGCATCGGCGGTGGTGGAGTTAAAGCAGAACGTAGCAGCAGCAAAACCTCTGGGGAGACCCCCGCAGCAGCAGCACCAGCAGCAGCAGCAGCAGCACGAGGCGGAGCTCCTTGCTGCTGCTCACAAGCCAGCGATACGCCTTCGATTGTTCGGTTGGAGCCAATCATAATTACCTACTCAGAACAGTCTCCGTTCCTGGACAAGACAGTCCGCTGCTGCTGCTGCTGCTGTTGCTGTTGCTGCTGCTGCTGCTATACTATCGGCTTCTCGCTGTTGCAACATCGTTGAGTGGGACACTCTGGGTTGCTTCTTTGCTGCTAGCATGCTGCTAATGGGGTTTCGCTGCCCCGTGTTTTTGGCACCACTTTGTGCTGCTGCGGTTGCTGCTGCTGCTGCTGCTGCTGCTGCTGCTTCAGGGGAGCCGCCAGTCCCGCAGAGAGGCGGCATCATAACGCTTTTGCGACTATCCCCGGCGTCAGGAGGTGTTGCAGCAGTCGCTGCTGCTGCAGCAGGTGCTGCTGCAGCAGGTGCTGCTGCTGCAGCAGGTGCCGCTGCTGCAGCAGGTGCTGCTGCTGCAGCAGGTACCGCTGATGCAGCGGGCGCACGTGCTGCTGCAACAGCAGACGCTGCTGAAGGCTTCTGCCGATCTCAACAAGGGCAGATAGCTGCCCCCTTAGCTCGAACCGCGAGCACTGCCCCAGCTAGCTTAACTAGCTGAGGAGCTAGCTAGCTAGCTGAGGAGCTAGCTAGCTGCTGGCAATCTATGGGCTAGCCACCCAGCCACAAGCTGGTGTGACCGGCTGGGCTGCACTTGATGTAGCCGGTGGTCCTTTAGCTAGCTAGCTAGCCAACGGATTGGCTAGCTAGCGGCGACCTGCCCCAGTCCATTTTAAGGTCTTGGCAAGCGACAAGTCCACGCACTAAGGGGGGCAATTACTGCTACAGCTGCCGCTGCTGCTGCTGCTGCTGCTGCTGCTTGGGTAGCAGCAGCAGAAGCTGCTACGTTACACGAAAGCTGGAAGCGGCACTGCATCCTCTGGACGCTTCTAGCTAGGTGGCTAGCTAGCTAGCTACGCAGCCAACTAGCTAGCAAGCTAGCCAAGAAGCAGAGCACAGCTAGGCGCATGCAAAGCGCGAGCAGCAGAATTGTCTAGCTAGCTAGCTCATGTCGCTAGCTAGCTGCACTCAGCTAGCTAGCTACTCAGGTGCAGCAAACTCCTCTGCCCCTCCTAGGGGCTGCGGGCAGCACGAAGAGACCCACGAAGTACGTTGAAGCAGCGGCAGCAGCACAAGCAGCAGCAGCAGCACACGCAGCAGCAGCAGCACAAGCAGCAGCAGCAGCACAAGCAGCAGCAGCAGCACAAACATCAGCAGCACAGTAGGACAGAGACAGAGAAGATAACGCAGCAAAGCAAAGACGCGCAGTTAGCTGCTGCTCACGATAAATCCCACAATTCAATAACTTCACAATTCAAATGGTTCAAGCCAAAAAACCTGATTTTGCTGCTGCTGCTGCTGCTGCTGCTGCAGCTGCACTTCCCGCAGTTTTGCAGCGCTGCGAGGTCGGCGAGGTGCCGATGGCTGCAGCAGCAAAGAAAGGAAGTCAAAATGTTCCTGCTGCTGTTTCTGCTGCTGGGCCAGTTGTTGGTGTTGCTGTTGCTGATGATTGGGTTGCTGCTGCAATTCCTGCAGCTCTTCACTATGTTGTTGCTGTTGCTGCTGCTGCTGCTGCTGCTGCTGCTGCTGCGTATTTTCTAGCGAGACTGACTTAGGGCTGGCTGCTGTTGGGGCACATGGCACTGCAGCAGCAGAAATTGCTGTCGATCTAACGGACTTGAGTGCTGCTGCTGCTGCTGCTGCTGCGTCAGTCTCAGCTGGAGCAGCAATCGAGTACCCGCCACCACCAGCAACGGCAGCTGCTTCTGCTGCAGCAGAAGCAGCCGCTGCTGCGCCTGTATCTACATCAACGGCAGCTGCTCGTGCCGCAGCAGAAGCAGCTGCTGCTGCACCTGTTGCTACAGTTGCGGCAGCTGCTCCCGCTGCAGCAGATGCAGCCGCTGCTGCACCTCTTGCTGCTCCCGCTGCAGCAGATGCAGCTGCTGCTACACCTCTTGCTGCAGCAGCGGGAGCTGCTCCTGCTGTAGCAGATGCAGCTGCTGCTGCACTTGTTGCTACAGCAGCGGGAGCTGCTCCTGCTGCAGCAGATGCAGCTGCTGCTGCACTTGTTGCTGCGGCACGGGGAGCTGCCCTTGCTGCAGCACGTGAGAACATTCTTCTGCACTCTTCCAATGGCGCCGCAGCACGCAGCAGCAAATGGAGTGTATCTGCAGCTTGCTGCGGGGCTTCCACCCCCTCGCAGGCGAAGGTGTGGCACAGCAGCTGCAACACATGCAGCGGCAGCAGCAGCAGCAGCAGCAGCAGCAGCAGCAGGATATAGAGCTCCAAATGACACAGAAAATGTACCAGCAGCTCCCAAGTCGGGCTAAGTCCCATGCTGTAGACGCAGCAGCAGTAGCAGCAGCAGAAATAGCCTACCTTTTCTAAAACATAGGTGGATGGCTGCAGCACCTGGACTGGAGCTGCTGCTGCTGTTTCATGCTTGGCGGCAGCAGCAGCAGCAGTAGTGGTTGCTGCTGCTGCTGCTGCACGGACCGCCTCCTTTTCTACAGCTGCGCATGCTGCAAAGCTGCTGCTGCTGGGTTCACGGCTGCAGTCCTTCAGCAGCAGCAAGTTGTTTGCTGCTGCCGCTGCTACACCGGAAGTTGCTGCTGCCGCTGCGCCCGCTGGCAGCAGCTGCTGCAGCCGTCTCGCTGCCATATTTGCTGCAGCAAATGCGGTGTATGCGCAGCTGCAGTGTATACGCAGCTGCTGCAGCAGATGCGGCGTGAGGGCAGCAGCTGCAGCAGGCGCTGCAGCAGCATCTCCAGCCACCCCAAAACTAGCAGCAAACTCCGTTACTGCAGAGCACACAGAAAACAATGTATCTGCATGGAGCGGCTGCTGCTGCTGCTGCTGCAGCCGCTGCTGCAGCTGCTGCCGTCGCTGCTGCTGCTGCCGGCTCGGCAGCGGCGTAGCAGCAAGGAAGCTCGCAGCAAGCTCTTCCTCCTCCTGCTGCAGCAGCGCCACTGTCATCCAGTGCAGGGAGACAACAGGAGCAGCAGCAGCAGCAGTAGATGCAGCAGCTGCTGCTGCTGCATCAGAATTTGCTGCAGACTGAACATCTGCCCCACCATCTGGTGACGGGGGTGTTTCTGCTGCTGCTGCTACCCCAGTGTCAACAGGCGTTGATGCAGCCTGCTGCTGCTGTCGCTGCTGCTGCTGCTGGAGGTGACAGTGCTGCTGCTGCTCCTGGACAGCAGCAGCAGCAGAGGCAGCAGCTGAAAGAATTCCTAAGGCGGCAACAGCGTGGCTCGCGCATGCAGCAGCAGCAGCAGCAGCAAACTGCTGCCCCACAGCACACCAGGCAGTCGCCATGCGCCGCTCAGCCAGCAGCTGCAGACACGGGAGATCTGCAGTCTTTTGCTGCTGCCGCTCTCTTATTACCTCTTGCTGCTGCTGCTCTTGGTCCTGCGGCTGCTGCTGCTGCTGCTGCTGCTGCAGCGCCACTTGCTGCAGCAGCACTAAGACTGCTGCAGGGTCAAAAATAGCAGCAGAAGGCATCAGCGCGCAAAAGTGCCCATAAAGCGAGGAGCAGAATTCGCTGCTGTTGACAGCAACAACG